GTGAAAGGGATGTTTTAGGGAGGATAAGGGGCTTCTTCAAGCTCCTGCCGCTGTATGTTCAATCTAGATCCATTTTAAAACATCACCGGCTCGAACTTTTGTTCTTTTTATACCACGGAACACAAGTTTCAGTACAGAACAGCTTTAACAAATAAACACAGCAAGTCACAGCCCAGCAACACAGCTGTTTTCACGGCAAACATTTTCTTTCTCTGTCAGATAAAGCTGAATTTGTAAGCAGTCTTATATTTGGTAAAAAAAAAAAAAAAATACTAACTCTATCACCACCTTTGCTGTTACACCCAATAAAGGCGCCCCGCTGTCTGTAAGCAGCCGCGTCACAGACCCATTCCAGCCGCACAGGTGATAACAACAGAGTCCCCGGAACCTGCCGGTTCCTCTGGGGAAGCAGCTCTTCCTCAGGCAGACAGGTAAGGGAACGCCAGCCTGGGGCTGCACAGGGGATCTCTCCCATTCCAACCTGCATCCCGTCTGGCTGTGACAAACATTGGGCTTTTCCACCCGGCACAGCTCAGCAGGCTTGGTATTTCACAACGTTACCTGAGGAGACAGATCCTAATCGGATTTTTACAACAGGAAACCCTTCATTACTCCTGCACCTACAGATTCCTCTTAATCCTTCTTTTTCCGAAACACAAACTGATTTTCAGGGGTTTTCCAGAGAGACTTCATGCAAGATCAATCTTTCCAATAACGGCTCAGCATCAGTGATTTCTGTGCAGGGCGTGCTTTCCAGGTGTGACCGGTAAGGTAAGAATTCACAGATCTCACAAAGGGCACAGAAAGCAAGCCTTTATCCTCGCAGACCGTACAGAATCAAGTACTAAAAAAACCGTTTACATGGAAGAGCAAAAGCATACAATCTGCCGAGTGCAGCGTGGTTTCTGTCGTAAGAAGGATGCCTTTCCCAGTACCGTGGATTCCTCCAGTTCCCTCAGCACTGGGCTGACATGATTCTATTGCAGAAAAAAATTGTCACTTAAAAACTAGTATCCAGTGTCTCAGTCAGGAAAACACTTCAGATGACAGATGAGTAGAGGAAGACAGCCTGAAGCAAAAGCTGCTCAGACCCACCATACCTGATACGGCTGTAACACAGCCAGGAGTGGTTCGCTTCTACAGTAACCTGCTCTGAGAATGGCTCTCACCTAAAAGAAGCCTATTTGCTGCATTCTTCAGTTCAGAGCTTCTCCTTTCCAGCAGCATCCAAGATCCCTTCCTTTTGCCTGTCCTTCTAAATACTGTGTTCAAACATACACCCAGCTGGATCCCTTCTGCTCACCGAGACTTGATATTCTAAACGGGACAGTCTCTGTGCCTGCATGTCAGTCCACTGCGTGCAACCAGTCCCCATTCAACATTAAAAAAATAAATGCCATTCCTTCTGAAGTTTTTTACCATGCAAGTACTTCAGGAAGGCAGCTGCAGCTGGCATCAGATTGCTGCTTCAGCTCTTTGAATGACTCCTTCCATGCGCCGGTACCACGGCTCAATCTTGGTGTGAACCATCATGTCGTCAAAGGCTTCCAGCCCTTCCATGACTCGGAGGACGCCATACACTGCCTGTGCCAGAGCATAAAGATTAGAACAACACTGAAAGAGTCAGCGGTGGAGAATGGCTCAGGGTACCAGTAGCCTGGCCAGTAACCTCTTTCCCCATCTTACTATCTACTCCACCACTCTGGTAAGCAAGAAGACTGAATGTCAGAAAGGTAGGTAAGAATAGGCATGTTTTCCCATGACAGAAGAGTAAGAAAAGGTCAGGATCTACGTGCAGTTATGGGACAAAAGTTAATCACATCTCTGCATCAGGCTCTGGTGTGAAATGCTTCACTTGCATGCCAAGAATTGCTGGTGCAGGGGATGAATCCTGCTCCACTCTGCACTACTGCTTGCAAAGGAAACCCCAGCAGCACTGAATGTAACAAAACCTTGCAGATGTGAGGCTTTATTCACCAGCCAGAGCAGTGTCCTGGCTTGTAACATGCTTTTATCATGCTTCCACGTGATCAGTAACATCCACTGCAGATGGGAACTGTAGGTTCCATCCTAGGAAACACTTCTCCAGAGGAAAAAGCAAATGCCATCCTACATAACAGAAGTATTTCTAAGTCCCCTTCATGTGGGAATTGTATTATTGCATAAAGGACATGGACAATCTATCTCCCATAACTCTCCTTCTTCTGTCTACCTTGGTATTAACCATTTCACATGGATAACAACTAGATAATTTGTAACACACCTAACAATGAATGCAGGAATTAACCCCTTACCAAGTCAGCAAGGTTCGGCTGGTTTCCACCCATGAACAGTCGATGTTTGCCAACAGCTTTTACCCACTCATTAACAGCTTCATACAAGTCTTCTCGGACATCATCTTGAAGGTGATGTCTGGGTAAAGAGAAGAACTAGCTTGAAGACACTGGTTTGTTCCTTTCTTTAACTTTTCATCATCTCTCATTTTATGGGCTGGTCTTTGCCTGGGGATTAGGAAGGTATCTGAGAGTGAAGGGGGCAGTTAGTGATTAAATAATAGATGAGTAGAGGGGCTCAGTACCTCGTTAAGGAAGTACAGCTGTAACTCACATTGGCTTAAATGGTTTGGTTTAAAACACCGAGGTTGTGCCCTGTGACATCTGAGGTTCATAGCTAAGCAGGTTAAGGAGTTATTCCTCTTGTGTACTTGGCGCTCGGTGGTACCAACCTTTTCTTCAACCTTTTGCTAACGAAGAACATGGCAACAGCCCCCATGTACTTGGCAAAGAAGCCTTCCACGGTACCAAACTTCCCCTCACGGACAATGTAATCAAAAGATGCCAAGGCTTCTCTGGGGGTACGGTAAACATTGGGGGAGATGAGGTGAACAAGCCAGTCATCTGCCCATTTTCTCCACTTCATTTCTTCCCTGCAAGCATTCAAAAGAAAGAGACTTTTCAGTAAATGAGGTACAGGCTGCAGGGCTACAGGAAGCAGGCAGAATCACAGTGCCATTAGCCAGAGGTTTTGCCAAGGACAAATGTGTCAAAAACTCCCGCCCAGCTTGTGCTCTGGTGACCTCTCTGAAATGCGCTCAGGATTGTTATCTTTGCCAAGGCTCCTCCAATCTCAAACTAAAATTAAGAGCACTTGCTTCTCCTCCCAATATGAGAGCCACAGCAGAAAGGGAAACCAGCACTTCATAGCACTCCTCTGTGACACAAGGAAAGGCCGAGAAGGGAACCGGAGGCAACTGAAGGCTGGAAGGACCATGATGGTGGTAACTAGGCCATCTAACAGCATTGTTTCAAATTATGCACAAAACACAGCAAAACCACTCTAACTACCGAGGGAGGTGTGACAGGACTTGTTAACACCAGGGGGATTTTATATCTACACCATCCCAGAGTACATCTGGAGGAGGCTATGACCCTACTTGGAGAGCCCAGAAGCTTAAAGAGCACTTACACTCTCACTTCGTTGACAGGATAGACTCGCTTTGTCTCCTTCTCATCCAGCATGAGCCAATATTTATTCCCATACTCAAATACCTCCTTGCCTTGATCAGTTACAGTTTTCATAGGAGGATAAAAGGACACGATCTCTTCTAAGCTATTCCTCCTGTGGACAGAAACACCGTTAGCACCTGATCTGGCTGCTATAAAAATGAGCAAGAGCAAAGGACAGATTGAAAGATACACACTTTAAAATGTATTATTCTAAAAATAAGTGCACAAGGCTCCAAATTCTATTTGAAATAAATTTCGAAAAGAGACTGGAACAGCTACTTGCAAACAATTATCAGTGTACATGCCTTTCTCTGTGTTGGAACAGAAATTTTTGCAGACATAAAACTACCTACCATCCTCAAGTGCTTTGCAGCACAGACCTAAAGCACAGGCACAGGAATTTCATTCCTCTCTAGATGTTTTAACTGGCTAAACGTAAGCTTAGTTCCAGGACTAACACTAGTCCATGTTTAAGTAGGTTTTGTGCAAAGAGAATCTCACAGGTGAAAAATTGTAGTTATGAAAGGTAAAAGCTTTGCTTCCCTGCTCACACATCACAACACACACAGGTACCATCCACATCATCACAGCCAGCCTCGGGTCACCAGGGCCAGACACCCACAGCTTCACAGACCAAGGTCAGCAAGACACTTATGACCAACTGAGTCAGTCTTCTCCATCTCTAGTTCACTAGTGCCATCCACATTCAACTCGTCTCCCATCACCCGGTTTTCTTACTTGGAAATGAGATAGGTCTTTATTGCACTGATGATCACTGAAGAGTCATTTAATTGCTGAAAAAACAGAATTAAAACAAAGAAGCTGGTCAAATTGAAAAGGAAATTCTTCAAAACCTTTTCCCCTGCAAGCTGAGGCTCCAAGTGAGTACTGCAGTCTCTTTTCTTCTCACGCCTTTCCACAGGAGTCCCCGCATATCTAAAGACAGCTCTACATTCTGTTTCAGAGCATCACTTCAAATTCTTACAACAGAGGACATGGGAGCCAAGTACCCATGCAGAACTAGTGGGTTTTGGATTTAAGCTCTGGGCAGCAAAGGAAAGCAACACTAACAGTTTAAAAAAAAAAAAAAAGTTAAATCTTCAATATTCTTCAGATCTCATTCTTTTCCTTCAAGATATAAGCAGTTCCTGTTACCGCTGGTATAAATGACATGTCCTACACAAGGGCTGACAGAAGCTAGATAATCACCAGATTAGAGAGTCACTACACAAACAAGCTTTGTAAGAAAGACCAGCAAAAAACTCTAATAAGGCCAAGGCATAAGAGACCATGAAGCAAGAAACAAACCTTAGGCCCTTGAGAGAATAAAAGATGATTTAAAGGTTACACTGCACGTGATAAACCACAAAGACATGATAAAGACAAGCCTCCAAACCCCTGGTTGTGGAGAAATCAAGCTTTCAACACAGTAAGACTTACCACAGGGCTTCCAGCATTGGCTAGCAGGATAGGAACCTTTCTGTAGGAAGAGAATTTGATCTCTTTCCTCATTATCGGGTTCACTTCCACAATTTCATAGGGCAGTCCATGATAATCAAGAAAAGCCCGGACTTTACTGCAGAAAGGACACGTTTTATACTGGTATAGAGTGAGCTGCAGGTTCCCTGCAGGCAGCTGGGGAAGGAAGAGACAAGAAAATTATTTTTCTAATAAAAACATAAATATTACCTTCCTTCCACCCTTATTTTTGTCATATAGTCATTGACATTCAGTTTTAACATCTGATCATCAAAATGTCTTGGCTAACAGATGCTTTCTTCAAATAGCATCCCAAATATTCACCTTCCACTGGGACCAAATACCTGGTTTTATAAACATCTGTTTAATCTGCTAGAAACTTTTTCTCACAGACAGAAAAAATAAGTTAAATCCAGACAGCTTACCCCTCTACACATAATTCTGAAACTAAAGAAAAAAAAACATATTTTAATTATCTTGAAACCAAAACCAAAAAAGCTTTCTCAATTCAATTTTTCTCCCCAACAACCTCTGTGGAGGCCACAGGGTGGGGAGAGCAGAGTTTGCTGCTGATTTTAGGCACATATCTGCCCAAATGCGGATCCCTTGGACTATCCAGGCTGCGCAGGGAGAGCCCGGGCAGCACACAGCGAGGTGAGGGATGCTGCCACACGCTCCATACTGCCGCGGTCCCACAGCCATGGCAAACGCTAGCCAGGCATTACAGACCAATGCAGTCATCGCACTTTGCTTCTCATTTGCAATTTACTGGGTTACACAACCCTCCGTGGGTGCTGGGAAAAGCAACAACTCTCCACCCGCAGCAAGCTCTCGCTTTCTGACAGACATTCCTCACAGCTCCTCGAGGAGAGGGCGCCCGGGGCCTCCTTCACACAATTTTAAGCGGTTTCCTCACTGAAAACGGAGCAAAAGCAGCCGCTTGATCCGCAGAGCCAGAAAAAACGGCCTCGGTGCCCTCCCTGAAACTCCTGTCTCCAGGGGTTCGTGCCCGGGGTTCGCCAGGGCTCGGGGGCGAGGGAAGGGCAGGGGATGGAGGCGGCAGGAGCCGCGTGGGGCGGACGGGAGGGGAGGAGAGCAGAGGAGAGCGCAGCCCGCGGGCGGGGGGAGCGGGCCCGGCGGCGCGTTAC